CAAATGGGATTTTTCCTGACTTCTGTTTCTGATATTTCATTGTTGGTGTACAGAAATGCCTTTAATTTCTGAATATTGACTTTGTATCCCACTGTTTGGCAAAATTCACTTATTAGGTTGAGTATTTTTTTTTGGTGGAGTCTATAGGACTTTAATGTACACTTTCTTGTCATCCACAAAAAATAATAGTTCTGCTTCCTCCTTTCCAATTTGGATACCTTTTATTTCTTTTTCTTGTCTGATCACTGTGGCTAGGACTTCCAATACTATGTTGAATAGGAGATGTGAGGGTGGACATCCTTGTCTCTTCCTGATCTTGGTGGGAAAGCTTTAAGTTTTTGCCCATCAAGTATGATGTTGGCTGTAGGTCTCTCATATATGGCCTTTATTATGTTAAGGAATGCTCCCTCTATTCACACTTTTCTGAGTGTTTTTATCATAAATGGGTACTGTACCTTATCAAAAGCTTTTTCCACATCTATTCATATAATCATGTGATTTTTGTCTTTCCTTTTGTTTGTGTGATGTATTATGTTTATTGATTTTCAGATATTGTGCCATCCTTGTATCCCTGGGATGAACCCCACTTGATCATGGTGTATGGTCTTTTCAATGTATTGCTGCATGTGGTTTACCAGTATTTTGTTGAGGATTTTAACATCTAGGTTCATCAGCAATATTCACCTATAGTTTTCTTTCTTTGTTGTATCTTTATCTGGTTTGGAGATTAGGATGATGCTGGCTTCATAAAAAGAGTTTGTGAGTCTTCCCTCTTCTTGGTTTTTTTTTGGAATAGCCTGTGAAGGATATGGCTTAGCTCTTCCTAAAATGTTTTGTAAAATTGGTTCAGGGCTTTTGTGTGCTGGGACCTTTTGATTACTGCTTCAATTTAACCAGTTATTATTGGTCTGTTCAGGTTTTTTACTTCTTCTTTATTGAGTTTTGGAAGATTATATTTTTCTAGAAATTTGTCCATTTCATTCAGGCTTTCAAATTTCTTGGCATATATCTGTTCACAGTAATTTCTTACAATTCTTTGTATTTCTGTAGTATCAGTTGTAATCTCTCCTCTTTCATTTCTGGTTGTGTTTGAGTTCTTTCTCTTTTTTTTTACTTGCTAAGTCTGATTACAGGCTTGTTGATTTTATTTCTCTTTTCAAAGAATCAGCCCCTAGATTTATCGATCCTTTGAATTGTTCTTTTAGTCTCTATGTTGTTTAATTCTTATCTGATCTGGTTATTTGCTTCCTTCTCTTCTCTCTGGTCTTTGTTTTTTGTTGTTCCTCCAGTTCTTGTAGATTTAGGGTTGTTTATTTGAAATGTTTCTATCTTTTAGGTAGGTATGTATTGCTATGAATTTTCCTCTCAGGACTCCCTTTCCTGTGTCCCATAAGTTTTGAACTGTTATGTGTTCACTTTCATTTGTTTCCAGAAACATTTTGATTTCTTCCTTAATCTCATTATTAACCAATTCATTGTTTAATAGCATGCTATTTAATCTCCATGAGTTTGAGTATTTTTTAATTTTTTCCTTGAGGTTGGTTTCTAGTTTCAGTCCCTTATAGTCAGAGAATATGCTTGATATGATTTCAGTTTTCTTGAATTTGTCTAGGCTTGTTTTGTGTTCTACCATGTGTTCTACCTTAATTAGATAAATGTGTTAAATTAAGACATGCCACAGATTCAACTCTTCTGATGAAAAAGAATATCCAATTAGAATGCAAAAACCATGAGTTGTTCCACTGATGTCTTCAAAGTTTGATATAAATGACTACAACTAAACATTTTGATTCTCTGTTCCATAAATTTTGATTCTTTGAAAAGTATCTGGGGTACCTGGGTACATCACTGCAGTATTCAATTAATAAACCAATATTCTTTAAATGGACTAATTACATGAGACTTGAGAACTTACCCAAATTGGCAAGGTAGTTTTGAAATGGTTCCTTTGCTCTATGCTGCACATTTTTTTTTAAAGATTTAATTTATTTATCTTTAGAGGGGAAGGGGGGAAGGAGAGAGGGAGAGAAACATCAATGTATGGTTGCCTTTCGTGCATCCCCTGCTGGGAACTGGCCTGCAGGGAACCGGCCTGCAACCCAGGCATGTGCCCTGACTGGGAATCGAACCGCGATTGTGTGGTTCGCAGGCCCGCGCTCAATCCACTGAGCTACACCAGCCAGGGCTATGCTGCACATTTTTAATAATGTATAGATTGTGATTTAGTTTGACTTTGTCATCGGTTTCATGTAAATGCTAGCACCAATGTCATCTCCTCTGAGAAGCCCATCCTAATTCCTTCGAATTCACACAGCACGCTGTCTTCTGGCACTAGCCCTATTTGGCCTCATCTTTTTCCTGTCCTCTACATTGTAAACCTTTCTTGAAAGAAAATTCTGTGAAGTTTCCCTTGATTTTCATAGGCTCAGCTCAGCCTGATTCATGACCAGCCTTTAACAAATGCCAATGAAAGGAACAATCAAATGCACAGAATGAATAGAAAGTAAACTTGCCTCTTCAACTCTCCCCTACATTTTGGAGAAAGCACACATTCTTCTGGGGACCCTGTTGTGCTCTAGTCCTGATTAGATTCTGTGCTGTGGACTCCACTCTGTCTTATGGTCAAGCAGGTCTCCTGACCCAGTGAGATTAACACTAGGAGATGGGATAGAGTCTGCAAAAAGTGTAACTATATATACATGAAATCCATAATTAAAAGGCAGAAAGAACACATTTAGCAGGATATCCTACTGTGTCACAGTTAAAAACAAATCATAGCAAAAATACATGTTGCACTAGAGAATTATTTAAAGTGTTATTATTGTAGACCATTTATTTCCTAAAAGATCATTGAACATTGTTCAATTCATTCCAAAAAGGAAGGAGGGAGTTGGAATTTGTTTCAAAGCAAGAAAGGAAGGGAGGTGGCTTTAAATTCTGCATTAAATCTGGTTAAAAGCACACAACTTTATTCTTTAGTAGATATTAGTCATGGCCACACTTTAAGGGCATGGTAAAACCTGTTTGCCTGAAGGAAAAAGAGTAAATAGAGAAAGGAAGCAAAATAAAATACATCCAAAAAATTTCCTCCTGTTGGAAAGGAACACACTTCAAAATCAGAATGTGCCAAATGCCTCCTTCCTTCTTGAAAAGCCTTCTGACAGTTGACTATTTTTCAGAATGAAAATTAGACAAAAAGAGAATGACCTACTTTGGGGGAGGTGGTTTCTGTATGAGAATTTTTATCTCAATGATGGTGTGGGGTTGCATGCCCAAATAAGGTGCTGTTGGTCAAATGTACGCAGGAGAGGGCTTTTCTTGAACTCCAGAAGGGAAAGGATAAAGCAAGGGCCCTAGAACCTTGCTTTGGTGAGGGGTGACCCCCAGTTCATTGCTCCAGCTGGTGTCAAGAGGAAAAGGCCCTAGGAGATTCCTACTGGACACCTAAACGGGAGTCCCTGCCAGAATGTCTGAGGGACTCAGGAACATCCCAAAAGGGCCGCTGGGCTCAGAGGGCAGTGCCAGACACTGTAGCTGAGTGATGTCAGGGAAGGGGTGACTTCCTGAGGGCGGGAGACTTCTCCCTTCTTTTGGGCTTCTCCCCAGGAGCCTCCATGAGGTGAAAACTCCAACACCCAGGGTGGAGTCTGCGAGCCTAGGACAAACCCCTCACAGTCCCAGGTGTCAGGGAGTGCAGGGTCTTGCTCTATCACCAATGTTGATCTCAAAGCCTCGAAGAGCATCAAACAGCGGCTCTGTGCTCTAGGAGACTGCATCTCTTTTCGGTGTTTGCGGGAGCCTTGGTGAAAGCCTCTATGTTTTCCCCGAGCTCATCGCTCTAGCTTCTTCTCTTCTTGGATTCTCGCCTGTCTCCTCCCACAGAGAGGAAAAAAGGTCACGTATGTTTGGAAAAATATGTAGGTCAGTGGAACATTTCCTGTACTGGAGAAGAGAGCTGCGAGGGAGGGGAGGGAGAGGAAGAGTAAAGCTCCTGTGTGTGCTGCTGGCCAAGGCCCCACGTGCCTTTGCCGGGGAGGGGAGCACAAAGCCGGGTCGGAAAGGATCCTTGACCCATTTTCTGGACTGGCTGTGTTCGCCTTGGGAGAAACACCAATCATGCCTCCCCAGTAGCCGTTGTGATCCTCCCAGAACAGTTATCACCAGTGTCCCTGACTCCTATGCCCCACCTGCCCCCTTTCCTTCTTTCCCCTGCTTAAGAGATCACAGTTATCCGCGAGGAGACTCGCCCTGTGACCTACCCCGGGCCATGTTCATAGACGTGCACGGAGTGCAGGAGAGGACAGTCACGTAATCTCCCCCAACGCACAGGACCGCAGGTTGGCAGCGGGCCAGGCGAGGGTTTGCACTGGGCAGTGGACGAAGATTCCTTGCTACTCTCAGCGGCAAAAGGAGCAGGACCTCGGCTGGCAGCCACGCAACCCCTAGGGTCCCCTCTCAGCCAAGTTCATCTATAAGCACGCCCCCCCAACACCACTCCTCTGTCCCTCTCCCCAGGCCGGACTCTGCCGCGCATCTCGGCCAGCTTAGAAAAGGCAATCAGGCTGCGGGGTGCGGGGTTTGAGAGCCTGGGAAGCTGAGGTCCAGGGTCCGTCTGCTCATTGGAGTGCAGGGAGGGTTTCTCTTACTGGGTGGCAGCAACGGACCGGAGGGAAGGGGAAGGAGGAGCTGGAGGAGGAGAGGGAAGAGGTGAGGGAAGAGGAGGAGGAGGGGAGGGGGCAAGGGAGGGGGAGGGGAGGAGGAAGGGGCAGTTGTGGTTCTCTTTGCCGCGTGAGCAGCCTCCCTCCCTCAGGAGCAGAAGGACTAGCGCGGCGACGCTGCGGGATCGCTGCGGGATCGGCAGCTGCCTAGCTCCAAGACCCCGAGGCCTCCGCAGCACCAGCGGCGGCGGCTAGAGCTGTACCTCCCGCCGCCGCCCAAGAGCAGCTCTCCGCTCCTGCTCCAGCTCCGGCTCCCGGCTGCGGTGGCGGGAGGTGCGTCTCTCCAGCTCAGTACGCGCCCGGCTCTCGGGGGCCACCCCACCCAGCTCCAAGGTAAGGGGCAGCGCCAAGGGCCTCGACTGACCCAGAGCGGGAGGACGTGTGCTCGGGCTTGCGGACTCGGTTGTCTGTTCGCTGGTGCAGTAGACTCCCCGGTCCGAGAGGGGCGCTGAGAAGTGGGCCCTTACAGCCGAGTCCCGCCGCCTGGACTTTAGTTATGCGGCGGTGGCGGGGCTGGTGGGATGCGTGTGCGAGTCACTGTAGGAGGCAGGGGACGAGGCATCCCGATCTTCAGTATTTGAAGGTGCTCAAAGGAGTACTGTCCGAATGGATGGAGGCCGTGCGCTGGGCGCAGCCTTGAGGGTGACTCACTGGCTCCCTGGGTCGCCTTGTGCGCCTTTCCAAAGCGTGGGTAGCTGAGCACACACAGTGAGTGGGGCGTGCGCTTCCAGCAGTTTCTCTAGGTCGCTCAGTCCGAATTGGTTCTGGGTGGGTTGGGTGCCAAGGCTCCTCCCTGGTCGCTTAGAAGGAGCGTAGCCTGGCTCCAGGCGTAGTCTTGCCACCCGGAGCTCCTCAGGTTAGATGCCAGCGTATCGTTTTGTTGGGAGGTGTGCTCCCTTCCCCAAGCGAGTAAGGAGGCTCACCTTTGACCTTTCTAAAGAACAGCGCAAGTTCGGTAACCTGGTATTAGGGACCTGTACCAACGGGCTAAGTGAAAACCAAATCCTGGTCCTCTGCCACTCTTTAAACTGCTCAAGGTAAGAAAGTTTGTTTTTAGCTCTTTGATTCATAAGTAATTAGTAACCAGTGTTGTTGATTTAAGCAGGATGGAAACCTTAAAAATACACATGCTCTTCCAGAAAGTCTAAAAACTCCCAAAGTTGTATACTTGAGGCTTTTATTTCTCAAGTTAGAAGCCCTGGATTTCAACAGGTGTTAGAAGCCCAGAGGCTAGAGTTCCGCGCGTTTAGTCTTTAATATCCGCAGCTTTGTTACTCGGCCGCAAATTCATTAAATTGGTTGGCCTGTATCTTTACAGGTGACAAAATGAGTAGTTCTTAAGTTAACTTAGAGAAGTACTGGTCATTCTTGATCGTTTAGAACTGTAATCTTCTTTTTCTTAATAGGAGGGTGTTGTTTTGGTTTTCCCTTTTGTCCTGTTTGGACTTCCCAGACAATTACTAGCTCTAAAGTAGTTCCTGGCAAAGTTCACCATCCATCTCTGTCTATCTCACTCTTAGTCCCTGACCAGTGAATTGACCTACTAATCCTGGCTTGCATTAAAATAGACTCCCTTCCTTGGGAGGCTCTGTCTACTGCTAAGATTTCCTTACAGAAAAAGTTTGCCCCGAATAACCCCAAAGTGTATTTTAAAGTAACCTCAAAATAAATATAACGTTTAACAGGGCCATTCTGACTTGGCTTGCTGTTTGCAAAAAGCATAAATAAATAAATAAATAAATAAATAAATAAATAAATAAATCAGTGCTTCATTTTTCATAACTAAACCAAGACCCATAAAAGTATTGGCATGTCTCAGCAGTCTGCTTAAAGATTTAGTTAAAAATAAAGTGTACAACATAAAGACATTGAATAATTGTCTTTCATCTCACAGAGAGATGTGGAGTGTGGCTTAGAAGAATTGTAAATGTGCTACTTTTAGTCATTTTTTTTCTTGGAAATGGATACCTCTATTTATTTGCTGATCTGTCCCTCTGTATGGGATATATAATTAGTGTTATTGTCATTACTCCCCAGAGTGGCTCCTGTGGAAGTGAAAGAAGGGAATACATTCTGGAGGAAATATGTTATTAATAAAATGTTAACCCCCAAAGAGTTAGACAAGCCATGAAAAGAACCAAGTGAGGCTTCACTAATTAGTGTGATGAAAAAACTTCCTCATAGGAGAGTGTTCAGATGGTGACTAAAATTAATTTACCTTTGTGTGAAAAATAACATTTTTTAAAGCTTATTTGGTTTTTATAAGAGTTTGGGCTCCCCCCCATTCCCAGCTGTTTTATAATAAAAATTATAAAATTCAATAAAAATGGTAAAAAAAATGACCCATATCACCTAATGAGTAATTGTTATGAAGTTGATATTTATTTTTATTTTTTGAACAATCTTAATTCTTGGTAATCTTTGTGGCTGGCTTTTAATGTTGCCACTTGTTTTTAAGTTTTAAATTCAAAATTAATCATTTTTTCAGATTAAAATAATAATACATGTTTATACATTTTTATGTTGCCATATCTATGTTAATTTTTTCAGTCTTGGTGTTTGCACCTTAAGAACTCAAAGAGCTAAGTCCTTTTTCCTAATTTTTAAAACAAGTGTGTATTTTGTTCTTTACATGAAAAGTCAGTTTTCTGTTGTGATCCAGGACACAAATTGTCCTGTACTAATCCCATGAACAGCTATACATTTCCCCAGGAGAGGTCAGATTGTGAGGTATTGAATTGACTCAGAATTGGCTGCTTTATGCCAGTGGTTAAATTGGCTGCATCATAGAAGCATCTAATTAAGTTTTACAGTTAAACAGTGGAAATGATACTCAATACATTATTTACTTACAGGAACATTCAATTAACATGTTTTCGACCTTCATTCTGTTGTAGCAAAGATGGGAGGTCAAGGACTGCCACCTTCATATTCCCATAGCATCTCTCCCTGGGAGGCCTTGTTCATAATAGATGTTCAATAAATTGATGTAGGAAATGAGCTGAATTGTCACTAATAGTTATCCAGACGTTAATAGGGTACTTAACTATGAGCAATTCTAGTTTGATGATGACTAATAGTACCTGAGAACACTAAATAAACTTATTAAATGTGAACATATGTTTAAAAAGGGGATTTTTCTAATGCAGTTTTTAGCTAAAGCACTACTTACTGTCTCTCACCTGAGTTCTTTGAGATTAGGGATCTTAGAGGATGCTTCCCCCAGAGACCCTTTGAACTTCTTTGGGTCCTAAAGCAGTGTGTGGTTTCCATTTTATGATTCAAAATAGGAACAAGAGAGTTTCTGTTTTACACTAAAAAAAAAAGTGTATTAAAGAAGCTGGAGGGTACCAACCATCATGTCTCTAACTGTACAGTACATATTGTTGCCTAAGGACCTTGTTAAATGCAAATGTTGACTCAGCAGGTCTGGGTTGGGACCCCAGATTCTGCATTTCTGACAAGATCTCAGGTGACTCTGATGTTTCAATGCACTAGCAAGGTTCTAGGATATACTTAATTTAATCCACCATATGTTTCCTGAGCATTTATCTGTGCAGTAGGCCTAGTTAATTGAATAAGCAAGAGTGTAGGACCTCCCTGCCTTCAAGGAGCTGACAGATGAGGAAGAGAGGGTGAGATTCTTTCTAGACTGAAAATGATGTCCTGGGATACCACTCTACAGGGCAGTGGCCAGGGAGGGGCCCAGAAAAGGGGACTTTCAGATCAGACTCCCACACTGCTGACTAAGACCTCTAGTCTTTTTTGAAAGGATATCTTTGTGACTCAGCTACTGTGTGACTGGAGCAACTTATATAACTTCTCTGAGCCTCAGTGTCCTGCTAAGAAATACAGTGTGAATAATGCTTGACTTGCTGGTAGGTAAGTAGGAAGAAAAGGTTCCTAAGATATTTTTCTGTGTAGTTCACCAGTTTACAAATTCAATATGGTTAATCAACAAAACTAAGGCCAGCAAGAGACAACAGAGCTAGGGCTAGAGGTCTGGCAGCTGTGGAAGTTAATTAGATGCAAATTAGAATTATTCTCAAGAGCATACACATCCTCCACTCTTCTGCAGTGCCATGACTTCTGGTTAGCCTTGGTGAGACCCTTGCTGATTGTATGTTTACCTGAGTCTGTTCCTGATACATAACCTGTAGGTTCTGTTGATCAAGGCCAACTGGTAGTTGTGGCAATCAGGCATTCCTTAAAAGTATGATGCAGAGGGCAGAGCAGGCACCTCTCCTTTCTGAGGGGCATTGGTACGTTCTCCCAAAGGGCACTTTTAAGGATAAAAGCCACCAATTAGTCCTTTTCAGTTTAACATCAGTTACCTGAAACTAGTGTCAGGTGTGTTGGAACTCATCAGGGACATTTTGTACTTCATGCCCTGAGATGATTGTTTCTCCCTGACATCTGGGAAGGATGGGTGCTGTAGGCAGTGGTCTTCTTCACCCTGATGTTAAGAAGGCTAATCTGAGTGGCCCTTAAAATAATTGTCAAGATTTCTTATATTAGAGTTCTGTTATATATATGTTATATAAATGTATATATATATATATATATATACACATACGTGTGCATATGTATGTGTGTATATATATATATATATATATATATATATAGAGAGAGAGAGAGAGAGACAGGGAGAGAGAGAGAGAAAGAGAGTTTATTATTTGCAAAGGAGATTTCCCTGCTGCCACTCCTGGTCCATGCATCCCATCCCCAAATAAACCTTGAAAGCCAAGGCAACTGGATGTGAGTGAGTAAAGGAAAAATGGAGGAATGACTGGTGACAAGGCAGGCATGGGGGTGTGATAACAAGGGAGGGAAAGGGGGCATGGAGCTTTGAGTCCCCGAGATGAAGCTCAGAGCAGTGTCAGGGCAAGAGGGTGGTAATGGGACCAGGGACACAACTATGTGGCCTTTGCTACTTTGCTGAAGGCCTTTGGAGGATTATTTATGCTCCCAGTTCATTGAAAATCATTGTACTCTGGTAGACACAAGCCAGTAGAAACATAGGCAGGTGACACAGCTGAGCAGCATGATTCTTCCAGACTCTTCTGAACCAAAAATGGCACTGCACAATTTCAGGGGGGTTATTTTTCCCTCTTGAAGGTAAAAATATTGAGAACTAGAGAACATTTTTTTTAAAGATTTTATTTATTTACTTTTATACAGAGGAGAAGGGAGGAAGACAGGGAAAGAAACGTCAATGTGTGGTTGCCCCTCACATGTCCCCTACTGGGGGACTTGGTCCACAATCGAGGCATGTGCCCTGACTGGGAATCAAACCAGTGATCCTTTGCTTCACAGGCTAGTGTTCAATCCAC